AGGGGAGGGGAGGGAACACTGTAAAAAAAAAAAAAAATGCATTGACCCAGGTCACTTTAGTTTTGTGTATTTCACTGTACATAAATTGTATTTCAATAAAATGCATTAAAAGAAGAGTGATGTCAGATAAAAACATGAAATGTGTACATTCACATTTTAGTTTTGCTATTCTACTTTTTGCCTAGTCTTATTCATTCTTTTTTAAAAACTTGTATTTTAAACTCTGTATTTCATCCTATAAGAGTAAGTGTTCACAGTTTATATGCAAAATTAACTTTCTGAAGCTAGCTGTGTAAGATCCATGAACAAACCACGCAATAACCTACAACTGCCAATGCCCACTCCTCACTTATGTACATGGTTTGTTTCCACAGACCAGGTCATTGTGTGAAAATCAGCATTATGCAAAAATAGAGAAGGACCACATCAGATCACAAAATGGGGGATGACTGCATAGTTTATAACTGCCAAATTACATCTTTACATAACTGCCAAAGTACTGAGAATAATGGCCTAACCAAAGGTAACATATAACCTTAACCATCACAGCCATTGTTACTCAGTTCTTTCACCTTGGTGTTCATTACCACCATATGTACATCATTAATGTGCAAAATAGTCGGACAGTAGAATTTTTACTATTGTCATAAATGTGAGATGTTGGATAATGAGGTAATTGATAAATGAGAAGTAGATGTATTGCATTTTCTATGTGTGTAGTTATTATGGCTGTACATTTCCCCCAAAAAAAGTATATGGCCTCTTAGGTACTGAGAATATGCTAAGGTTGAAAGTAATTCTAGGAAGCATATTTTAATAAACTAGATAAATTACTGAGACTGAAAGCTAACCATTAAAACAACAACAAAAATGGCCACTGGTTAATCTTGGCAGCTTACAAATAAAATAGAAGCTTGAAACTATCATTTTGTCTCTCCTTTTTTTCTAAAACAGTACCAATATGACAATAAAGGAATAAACTATAAATTCACAGGAACAAAGAGAATGGGAGAGACATTGATGAATTTTTATAATATGTGAAGTAGATGACTTAGTGCTAACTTTTTTAGCAAAGTGGCAGAAGCCAATAAATGAAGATGCTGATGGAAACCATGGGATTGGAGTCAATGGGTATCCTGGGTGGGGATAGGATAAGTCATGGGGCCAAAAGCAGACATAGGTTCTAGAAGACAGGTAATCTAGGTTTCCCCTGCTCCCACCAGAGATGTTTATTCTCTGGTGAAAGCAATCTAGAGATGCTCCAGATTTTGGGCATACCAGGTAATATTGCAAATCAGAGTATGCATACTGAAGAATTAAAATAGCCCTTGCTCCAGAAAGGTGAAATCCCCGTGTTTATTCACAAGACAGAAGATTTGGAGATACTTTCTCTGGGGATACAGAATAGCCCAGATAAACGATCTGTTGGAAACAGATTGTTTGTCCTGCCCTCCCCCAAGGGTGGGGGGAGAAACTGGCTTGCACCTCCATCAATGGTGGTAAAGAAGGAGATTGTAAAAATTGATAAAGTAGAAAAGAAAAATTTAAACGGATTTTATATAAAGCTTATAGAGTCAGAATGACATTTAACTTCTCAGCAATAATAAGGAGAACTAAGAGGCGATGAATAAAAATTTTTACATAGAATTTTATATCTAGCCAAACTATCAATTGTTGTTGTTGTTGTTGTTATGTGCCGTGGAGTCGGCCCCGACTCAATTAGGGTAGGGATAAAAACAAAAGACATTTTTAGACATGCAATCTCAAGATACTATTTCTCTTTTGTCCTTTCTCAGGAAATTAATCAAGCATGCCCTTTAAAATAAGAGAGCTAAGTAAGAAAGGTGACATCAAGAAATTTAGGAAACAAATGACCCAACACAAGAAAGAAAAAGCAAAAGCAAGACCCAGGATGAAGGGCCAGGGAAATTCTATATGACAGTTATGCAAGAGTTATGGAAAGTAACCAGTCAAAATGAGAGCAGGGGAATAGAGGATTCTAAGAGGGAGGTCTTTAGGGAAAATGCAGTTGAAAAGAAGATCACCAGAATAAAGGGAATATTAAATCCAAGGGAATAGATAATAATAGATTCTTGTGGACCCCATCATTCAAAACCAGAGACTAAATAGTTTTTTTTGTAAACTTAATTTTTTAAGTGTAGTGTAATTTCAATGAACTATTACTGGACTTTTCCTGAAGAAGTAGCAATTAGTAATTAATGATTGACATCACAGAATTTCATTATTCCTGAACAAAAATGCTTACATCTTTGCCATAATACTTAATTGTGCCCCTTGATATTCTAATTAAAAAGTACAGTAACTATTGTGGTTGGTATTTTGGGGTCAGCTTTTTGATCAATAACCATTGAATCATTTTGTCTGACCATGTCCAGATTTTGGTAATTCATCAAAGCCATATTCAAACAAAATTTGTTAAATTATTTAGCATCAAATTGAGTAGGTTTCCAGAGAGTTAGAAATTTAAATTGAACACCACGCTGGTAGTTTATGTTAATCCTAGCTGTTAAAATATCCTATAAGATTTATTTTAAAGTTAACTTTATATGTACAAATATAAAATGTAATTTAAAATTTTTTCAAAAATTTACATAACTCTTTATATATGCTTAAGGAGCTCTGGTGACATAGTGGTTAAATCATTCGACTGCTAAACAAAAGATTGGTGATTTGAAACCACCAGTCACTCCATGGGAGAAAGATGAAGCAGTCTGCTTCCATAAAGATTTACAATCTTGGAAATGCTATGAGGTAGTTCTACTCTGTCCTAAAGGGTTGTGAGTCAGAACTAATTCAGTGACCATATGTTTGGTTTTGGTTTTTCTTTTTTCTGTATACTTATTATATAAAAAAGATCATAGCTTGATTCTACATCTTGGACTTCATTTTTATTAGCATTAAAGGTTTCAATTGTGGCTTATTTGTGTTTCTTTCCATGATGTAATTGACACTTAATGACATAAGAGCATATCCTGGTATTTCTGAAGACTACAGTGTTGGGGACCTTACATGTGGTGGAATTGCCCTTGCAGTTTACTTTCCCTTCTTCGTCAGCCTAGAATGTTTCTTATTTTCTCTCATCCTGTTGAGATTCCCTTATGCCCCCATGCCCATTCTCACACAATACTACTCTACTTTTGTGTGGGAATATAGTGACTCAGGGTTTTGCTTTACAAATGGTTTGTTCCACAAAATAAATTAACTCCAGCTACCAAGTAAATTCTCACTCTTTTTTTGCTTTTCTTCCCTTAAATTCAGGAGTGGATCAAGCTTTGCCTCAAGAACGTCGAACTCCTGTTACTCCTTCTTCATCTTCTCGCTATCACCGCCGAAGGTCCTCAGGGTCACGAGATGAACGCTATCGGTCGGGTAAGGGATTAAATGAGGATGCGAGATCAATAATATTTTAGTTTATAACTTTTGTGTTCATTATAACTAACGTGTGCATGCTTCCGTGATGCTATCTGAAGTAGAACTGTAGTAAATTTGAAGTTTCTACTGATTCCCTGTGTAATCTACATCCTGTTATACGCAGATATACCCTTTATGGTAGACATTATAATTCAGTACATAATGGCTCTTTTCACATGTTTAAAGACAGTGTTGTCTGTTATTCAGAACTTCATGGTATTTTAAAAAATAGAATCCCTCATGAGCCAAATTTTGCTGATTTTTTTAAGTGTCACTATTTAACAATTAAGTTTTACTTTTATAATCTTGCTTGCCAGTATAATTTTTCTCTTCTCTTTTAGCCTTAATGATCTATTTCTCAGGTGTAGTTTCCAAAAAAGAAACAAAATCCTTGCTATTTATATAATGTGTGTATATTATTTATTTTTTGTTTCATAATGTTATCTAGAATGCTATCTTTAGTAATTTACTTTCCTATAGTCATCAGTTAGGCTTGACCAGCTTAAATTTCATCCACTAATTTAGCAACAGGAAATTTACACTATGATTATTTTAGTTGCCTTTTGAGGGATATTTTTCCAACATCTAGATTAAACATGCTTTCTCCTACCTACAAGTTTAAAAGCAAAATATCTGTAAATTTTGTTGTTCTTGATTCTAAGAAGGCAGTTTAGAGTCCATGTGGATTGCTGATGATGACCTTAATTATAACAATTAGATGCCAGTTTGTATTTTGCAAAGTACTTTTCACAGACATTATAACAAACAGATGAGGTAGTTTCTATTGTCTCATGTTGCAGAAGAGGGAACTGAGGCTAAGCTAAATTTATGTAATATACCCAGTTCACACATGTGGTAGGGCGGTTAAGTGATGGGACTCTAAGCCCTGTGAGAATCTCACAGTATCATGTTTAATGAATCTATCCATTAATAGCAAGCTTCCATGATAAACCACCTACCACATCCTCCTAAGCTGCTGTCTGCCTAACTTTCTGGCTTTGCTTTTCTTTCTAAAAGTGAGAAAAGAGGAAAGCAGAGACTTTATTACACTGGGAGTCATCTGTACAAGGAAAAAGAAATGTATTTGAATAAGAAAGAAGAAGCTCAGCCTTACTTCTCTGATGTTTCTCCTGCCCTTCTGGTAGCTGTCAGAGGCCTTTGATGCCTAGTGAAATATCTAGGAATGGAACAAAAGAATGAAAGAAATAGTTTGTTCCCAAATCAACTCCCTGTGATTTTCAGAGCTGTTTTAATTCCCAACACATATCAAGAGCTCATATTACTCATTTAGGCATCTCAGAGGCTCCTTTAGAGTAATTAAACTCGCTGCTGTCAAGTCTAATCTGACTCATAGTGACTCCTCCTTGGGTTTCCGAGGCAGTATCACTACAGAAGTAGATTGCCCAACCTTCCACTACCATTGCGTCAATTCTGACTCATAGTGACCCTATAGGACAGAGTAGAGCTGCTCCATTGGGTTCCCAAGGCTGTAAATCTTTATGCAAATTGTCTCCTCTTTCTCCCATGGAGAAGCTGGTGGGTTTGAACCACCAGTCTTTTGGTTAGGAGCCAAATGCTTTAACCACTGTGACACCAGAGCTCTTTTGGTGAGTAAAGACATACATTAAACTTAATATGAAATATTTCTATAATTACCTTTTCTTGAATACCACTATAGTAAACCAAAACCAAAAAAAAAACAAACTCACTGCCATCAAGTCGATTTGACTCATAGCGATCCCTACTTGGGTTTCCGAGGCAGTATCTCTGTGGAAGTAGATTGCCCAATCTTCCTTCCAAGGAATGGGTGGTGGGTTTGAACCACTGGCCTTCTGGTTAGCAGTCAATTGCCTTAGGCACTACATCACCAGAGCTCCCCTTACTATGGTAGTATTTTATAAATGTATGCACACACGTAACACACACATCGATGTATTGTCACATATATAGATACATAACACACACACATATACACTATCATCATCTTCAATTCTTACGTAAACTAGATAACTCTTCTTATTTCCATTTAATAGATGGCAGATTGAAGTTTGGAGAGATTAAGTGACTGTTAAAGACCATACATTGAGTAGGTCAACAAAATAGGATGCAAATCTAGGTTTGTCTGGGTATGTAATCTGATTTCTCACCACATAGATGATTCTATCTTGTGTCAATTTCTAACCTCTAACTTTCTGCCATTGAGTATTTTAAGCAAAATTTTAAATGGAAATTTAAGTCATAGTACAGCCTGTTTCCCACGTTATATATCTTCCCTAAATTTTTTTTGGTTTAATGATACAGATGAAGAGGAGAAGATGATAAACTTATATTTTTATATCACCATTTGATATGAATTGTTTCTTTCAAATTCTCTTAGTTATTATGGAGATAGGTAGAATAGGTTATGGTCCTACCACTATTTTCCTTTTAATGAAAGTCTGAGAGAAGTTAGCATTGTAAGGAGTGATCTCTTGAACTCAGGTACATTCTGAGCTTACTTATACAACATTACCTTGCCTCTTAGAGGTCAAAAGTGCATGTGAGCAAGAAGCAGCCTGGCAGAATGAGGTGGTGAGTATAGAAAAATGGATGGAAATATAAAAAGCTCAAAAGATACATTGCAAATACAGTCCTCTGAAAACAAAACTGTTGTTGTTAGTTTCTTTGGAGTTGCTCTGGCTTATGGTGACCTTATATGTAAGAGAGCAAACATTGCTCATCCTCTTTACATTTATTGGTATGCTTGAATCCGTTCTTGCATCCGTTGTGTATTTTGAGTGCATTCTAACCTAGGGGGCTTGTCTTCCTGAACCAAATCAGACAATGTTCTGTTGTGATCCATATTGTGTTTGGCTAATTTTTGGAAGTAGATCACCAGGCCTTTTGTTCTAGTCTGTCTTAGTCTGGAAGCTCTGCTGAGACCTGTTCACTATGGGTAACCCTGCTGGGGTTTGAAATATCATTGGCATAACATTCAGCATCATAGTAATATACAAACCACCACAGTACTATAAGCTGACAGATGGGTGGTGGAAACTAAGCCCCACCTTGTTCAGCCCATTTCGATGCCAACTTTAGAATTGCCATTCATTTTTCATTAGCATAGTTGTGAGGTGGAGAAAAAAGCCCCATCTTCAGAGAAAGATTCACAGTATTTTGGAGCGCTGTTGCAATTATTATTAGTCCTTTTCAATTAGAATCCCAGACTTGGAGATAAGAAGTTGGGACTCTTCTTTTTGGGGTGATATCACAGCCTCATTCTAAAAAGCTCTTGTCCTTGTGGTTGCTTTTCCTGTGGGCATTTCTCCCAGCTCTGTCTAACCCACTTCCCAAACCACAGTGCCCACTTCCTCTATTTCTTTCTGGCTTCCTCTTACTTGGATACTCTTTCTCCCTCATAATTCAGATCAGACGTTTGCTGTAGGCTGAACTGTAGCTTCCAAGCCCCGCGTTACCAATGTCTTCCAGCTTTGGCCCTCCTTGCCTTCAGGACTTAGCTCAAATAATAGTTCATTTCTCTCTAGGGGCCAGCTCGGGTTCCTAGAACTCCATCTGTGTGTATCATGCCCTCAGCTGGCACCAGAAAACGTTTAATTAGGCATTCTTTAAGTATCTGCTCTATACCAGGTACCTTGATAGAGAAATACAGAGAGAATTAACACATAGTCACCCCTCAAGAGGTCCACAGTCTAAAGGATGAGCCAGACAAATGAATTGGTGATTATAGCATGGATGGTGTAATAAATGCTATTATGTAGAGTATGATAGTGTGATATGGCTTTTAACCTTGCCTCTGTGTTGCCTATTCTCAACACAGCAACCAGAATGGTCTTTCAGAAGCATTTGCTAGATCATGACACTCCTCTACTTCAATTTTCCAAGAGTAAAAATCAGAGTCCTTCCAGTGTTCTACAGGGCACATGATCTGGTTGCTTTCACCTCTAGGATCTGAACTTTCTGTGTTTTCCCTTTGCTCACTTCTCCATAGCCACCTTGGCTTCCTTCCTTGGTGCCTTTTGGACCCAGAAGGCACATTACCACTGTAGGGCCTTTACATGATCTATCTATTGCCTTCTTTCATAAAAATGTAAGGTCCACAAGGCCAGGATCTTTGTTTTATTCATTCATGTATGCCAAACCGATTAGTATTTTTAGAAGGAAGGAAGGAAGATGAGGGAATTTGGGACATTTGAAGAATGGCAAGAAATTAAGCAGAAGGGGTCAGATTATAAAATATCTTGTATACCATGCTCAGGAATTTAGATTTTACCCTGAAAGTGATAGGGTGTTGCTTGGAATTTTTAAGCAAAGACATGACAGAAACAAATTTAGAGTTTGAAGATTACTTTTATAGCATTATTGAGTACTTTTAAGTATTGCAACTGGAGTTGGGGTTTTATTGGAGAAATCTGAAAGAAAAAACACTGAACTGAAGAGATTTAGCGATTTGTTTTATGTTTGGAATCTATTAATCAGTGCTGGTGAGATTTGATATATGTTTGGGAGATCATAGCAATGGGGTCTGAAGGCTGAGTTAATGTAGGGGTGTGATAGAGGAATCTAAGGGTCATTCTTTGGATGTCTAATTTGTATAGCTGCATAGATTGTGGTCTTTCATTCTGTATCTACTTGCACACCTTTAGAGAATTAGGGTTCCTGTTTGTAGGTTAAAAATGGTAAAATTTTCCTCAGCTATCCATTTACTATATAAAGAATACTGTAGAAAATTGTATATAAATGTTCAGTTGTCAGATAAATATAGAAAAATGCTGTTATTCCACATGTACTTTTTTTAAATTAAAAAATTGTTCTTCTTCATTTTCTATAAATAAAGACATCTTAATTTTCATATGGAGCAAACATAACCATATAATCTTTTCATATGTCTGTAAAATCTCAGTTATGATTTTTATTTTCTGTAAATTTGTTTACATTTGTGGAAATGCAACCACAAGGAC